CACGATATTTTGAAAACATTTTTCGCGTATATAAATCCGTTTTTATAGCTTGTTATCAATATCTTTCCTTTCACAGTGTAATCCAAATGTGCTTTTTTTTAGTAACCGCTCCTGTGGAAACGACCCAAAACTTAATTTCGTTTTCGATTAGTTCTCATCTTTCAAATGCACTGTTTGTGCTTTAATAGACTTATCATTATCATAAAATAATTGTACGGAACTCTAGCCTTGTTTGGTAAGAATAAGGGGATGACTTATTCCTTCACGCATTCCTTCACGCATTAATCAAATATTTTGATCAATGGACTACTCAGTTCAATCAATTGCTTGATTTACATTTGGAATTTGAAATTGATTTGGTGGTTTGATATTTATTCATTTATTTTAAAGGTTCATAAATTATATTCAGATTATGTAATTGTTAAAAAAGGAAGCAGATCAGTGGATATCGTTAAAACGATTTATTTGTATTGACTCCTAAATTAATTTACTTGTAAAATTATTATTATTCCTATTATTCTATTGTGAATGTTTTATTATATATTATTCTTATTATAAATGTTTTATTCTTATTATAAATATTTTTTTTTCACTATATTATGTCCGTTAAACAAAGAAATAAATAAACAAAGCATAAGTTGCGTTTTGGCTTTCCTTGGCAAGGAATCGTTTCCTTATTTGTGTTTCAAATTTCAAGATCGCTATGAAGAGATTAGAGAGATCAAATAAAAAAGAAGGCAATGATATTAATAATGGAAGAATATAATAAAATTACAATAAAATGCTGTTATTTCAACTAAAAGAGAAATGCTGACTGAATGCAGAATTAAACAGAACTCACATAACGTGATTTTAAGGAAAATTCCTACACGTTTGTAATGCAATAAATCAAATCACACGATCAAATCGGCAGGCAGACAGGCACGCAGGCAGGCAAGCAGGCAAACAAACAATCGGACAAACAACAACAATTAAAAATGCATAACAAATAAGAAAACATTAAATAAAACCCCTGCGTTCAATGTACGTTTTTCCGAATCACTTTTTTGCTTTTCATTTTATAGATATCAAATAACGGATCACATCAAATGCAGCTACTGGCGATGATGATGATGATGAATGTATTGGAATATAAAGCATTTAATGTGTCATAACCAATATTACAGTTCCACTACAAATTTGCATTTGCACGCTTCTAAAATTATAATCATGCTTCAGTTATTCAATTTGTCTGAGGTCGTTTACCACTTTGTTACGGCTTGTTAATTCCTAATAGAAAACAGAATATCATTATGCCCATTTTAGAAGGTGTGTTCATCTATTCAATCGAATTGCTTAGGTTCATTTGTCTATCTATAGCTCCATGTGTTAATTTATCTTTAGCCCCAAATGCTCTCACCACTCACTCCTCACGCTTATAACTAGCTCTTCCTTTTAACTCTCAATTACTACCGATCAACTGCCTGCCAGTAAATCTAACCCACTACCATAACTCTTAAGATTTTTTAATATCCCATGCATATACTAATTGTTAAATTATATTACGTTATGATAAGAGATATAACCGTCTCTTTCATCTTGTTCGAAAAAATTTTACAGATATTTTGCTTGTTTATGCTCTATTGTAGTAACCTATAGCTGTTCTCTTACTTCTGAGATAAAGAGGAACACATCAACGACTCAAAGATGGATGTATTCCTGTTCGTCTTTGGATTATGAGATGATTTAGCCATGTTGTCCACGTCTGCGACGTTTGAAAGCTAACGCTCCCTTTTCCAAAACCCTAAATAGCCGTTTTATGAAAGATGACCCCAAACGATTACCGCTTTATAGGGAAATTCAAAAGGTGTGATCTGGGAAAAATACTTTCACTTAAGGTTAACGAGCTTATCCTGCATTGTACTATTTTGAAAGTATTTTACTCGCAGTGACATCATGTAAAGCTATTGTTATGTTTATCACTCGAGGGATATCCCCATACAACATGTCCTCATTCAGGAAGGGCTACAAATATGAAAGAAGAGTAGCGTACATTTGTAAATGAGAACATTTAAATTGTTTGTCCCCCTGGTTGTACTTACTTTCAAACTGCGGCTTAGCAGCTAGCCGCATAGCACGAGAACACTGAAATCGCAAAATGGTCTTATTTAACGACATGACTGATGGACAAGTCTCTTTCTTGTCCGCAAAATATATACCGTGGAAATGTCTATATATAAGCACAGCACAGCCGAAGTTGCGCCGATTGTTAAGATTCTCGATGGTGTTGAGCAATCTCTCATTGCTAATAAGCACCAGTGCCTTTCTTTGTAAGCGGTTGAGACTTTCCTTTTGACACCTGGACGCTAACGTCCACACACATACGAATTATATATAAATATAAATATCCATAAGTGATATAAATATATATGTGTATATATGTGTATATACATATATATATATATATATATGGATGTTCTTGCATGCTTTTTGACCAGCGAAATCTATTAATGAAAATGATAAAGTATTGCGAAGTATCAATATACACAGTAGTTAAACTCGATGATTCGGATCTTTTTTTACATAAAATAACAGTTCTGCTTTTAGTACTTTTGAGTTATTCACTGCGCACAGACATTAATCGTGGAACGCTTAAAGTTGCATTCTCGGCGTTCATTACTTTTCTTGTTTGATTTGTTTATATCCTAATTGTCGATTTTGGTTTCAACGAATTAAAAATGGTGGAGGACCAAAAAAGTTCGGAGCCAATGAATTACAAGACTTGTTAGACGAAAACCTAGCACAAACTCTAAAAGAACATTCGAACAGCTTAGCAGCTGATAGATCAACTGTTTCTAGATTTTTACATACGATGTGAAAGATTCAAAAGGAGGAAAACTGGTTACCACACGAATTGACTAAAATGACGGCAGAAGGATGCCAAAAAGTTGTAGAGAAATATTTTGATTTGGAATATATATTGTACAAGTTTTTCTCAATATATGTCCTTTTCAAGTAAAGAAGTACATGTGAACACCTATTATAGGGTCAGGTTAACTTTAATAGGACCATTTTTCACATGATATTTCCAAAAAATTTCTTTTGCTTTATTTTAACTTAGCATTAAAAAAGTAAATTTACAGTTAGCCATAACGTCAAGTTCTTTTCGTTTTCCTTACAAATATTGAAGCACTGAGTGTCACAGGTTCATGGCCAGAACGAGATCGCTTGTCTTGGTGGGAGATGGGAGATGAGGAATTGTGTATTTATATTTTAGAACAGAACCGCAGCATCACATTTCATTTTTTTTTTTTCGAGCCAGGGACTGAACTAAAGTTTACGAAGTCTATAGTGTTTGAGTAGCATCCGCTGTAAATGTTTACTCCTGGCTCCAAAAGATAAAATATCGCCTTCAAATCGTAGAAGGCGCATTGTGAACGCAAATGTCTTTATCGTAATAAAGTTGACGATGAATCAAAAGCTGTAGTGTTTTATGTTTATATGTAGCTTGTTTGGATAAACAAATGAATTTAAACAGCAAACATTTTCCAAGAGACGGAATTTCTGCTTGATTTAAATTCAGCTTTTGTTTCGAGTTAAAGCCCAGACGTTAAGATCATGCTTGACTAGTGAACTTGTGCCGACAGATGGACGGTCTCTCATTCAATTATGCAAGACTAAGAATGCGCAAATTTTAAAACATTTCCGATACTTATTTTTCAGCATTAAAATCATTTCTGTCTCATATATTATTTTGAAAACTCACTTTTCTATCTTGAAAATATATTATATACGCAATATCACGAGCCACTTAGGGTAAGCCTTTGATAATCTATGTGCGGTAAATACAAGACAAAAATTACTAATGGCTACGCTCTGAGCAAAGATTAAATGTTTCATAAAAAAGCTGCCAATGAATGCATAAATTGCTTAAGGCTCATCACGCTGTTAGTATGCAAACAACGTTTGTCCCGTTAGTCACCTTTTATGTGTCTTATCAGTTTTTGCACCATCATGTTGTTATATTGATGAATTTCTTTGGACTTTGAAACGATATATGTATAAATAACATATGTTTACATCAATTATCGAAATACATTAGAAATTCATACATCTTTATCATAACATGACACGTTTATGTCAAATAATAAATGTTAGTAAATATCTTTTTCATTTATTCATTCTTTTTTTTTGTTTGTTTCTTTTTATTCGAAATTTCGAAGGTGTGTCTGTCTACCGCATTTATATATCACGCTCATACGTATATTACGAAATTTCAAAGATTATAAATCAATTTGAAAAATAATTCCATAACCATTGCTGCCATCGCTTCTGCGTTAAATTTTAGCTATAGGATATATAAGATAAGTTCCTATGTAGGTATAAAGAGACTCAAAAAGAAGAAAAACACCTTAACCACCTTTATATCTCAAGATGAGACACACAATTCTGGGCAGTTCTGACCGAATGGCAATCGCATTGTTTATCATAAATACAGGCATATATGGTAGGTGATCAAAGTTTTAAAGGAAAGTAAAGCAAATAAAAGAAAAGGAAATGTTTTTCATTATTGTTGCTTTTGTTTTCGTGAATGCAATTCAGTTGCTGAAAACGGACATATAATGACTTATTAGGAAGAACTGCTTCCATCCATACGATACAAAGCAGTGACAATAATACAAATTATCAATAACACTTCATGTGTTATTCTATGATCGGTTCGAACAGATACTTGCAAACTTTTTTTTTTTTTTATTAACAAAAAAACATATGCACACACACACGCACGCACCAAGCCTTTTATATGGTGTGTTTTTTACTCTGATTGATGGCATATAATGTTCTCTCTCCATATGATTACAGGTATAAAAGTATCTAAGCGCACGTTATTCAAGTTCAGTCTAGACGTGATCGCACTCCAGGAACACAGTAATTTTCTTCTAACATAATTTCAATTAATAGTAAAAGAATATATATCTTTAAAGGAAAATAAAAAGAAGGAGACAAATAAATAAACATTCGTTATTATTATTTTTTTTTTGTCCTGCGAAAGTCATCTCTAGTTTAAGTGATTTTCCTATAACGTAACGGTTCTTTTAAAAAAGGAGTTTTCAAATTTCGTTTTACATATAATAACCTTATAATTGATAAGCCTACGAGCAAAGTGAGAGAGTTAAAAGATAAGTAATAAAACCAAAGACTTATCACAGTATTCAGTATCATCCAAGGGGGACTGAATTAATCAAAAAAATACAAACCAACATTAAACTAAAAAGTGTGTTTGAGTGCGCGTGAAAACGTGAGATTTTTTTTTTTTGGATGAGTCATTTTTATGCAAAGCTTTACTTCTGGACGAAAGTTTGAGAACGTAATTAAAGGCAATTAGCAGAGCAGTTAACAGTTTTATCAAATAACAGAGAGCTTAATAAATAATAACTTAAGAAAAAAAAAGAGAACAAAAGAAATTAAGAGAAAATTAAAAATAAAAACTTCATTCATTTATACCACAAGGATTAATAACGTACAAGTAAAGGTGAGTCATATATATATTTTTCTTCTTTTTGTTCTTCTTCCTAATAATAATTAAAATAATAATAAAAGGGCAGGCATGTTTACACAAGCCCTACATTATTTGCGATAAAAGGGTATGTTAAGTTTTCGGGATTGTATGAAACTCACATTTTTCATAGAGATCGAATCAGAATAAATTCCTTAATCGATGTAAGCTTGTCTGTCCGTCTGTCCGTCTGTCCATCTTATTTGAACCTACAGGTCACAACTTTTGAGATATTTTGACGGAATGTCTTCGCCCGAGAACACTATTTGGCTCGAAGCACTATTGAATAAGGGTCGGGTCGGGCAGCCTTTCCGCCCCTCTTCACATAGAACGTGTAACTCGTCTTTTTTAGAGCTAGTGTTGTCTTTTGTAAACTCTGGCTAATTCAGTTACGCTACAAAAAGGAGAAAGAACTTAACCTACCACCGGTACTGTTGATATGACGTCCAGTCGTGGTGTTATGGTCAATCTACCCTGTTCCTCTGTCTGTTAGTCTGGGTCCTTCTAGCTGTTGGTTCATTAAGTCTCAGTCTGTGGTTATATCCACACACACACACGCATAAATAATCACTCACTTACATCTTCGCGAAACCTCCTCTGCATCGAATTATTAACTGTCATAATGAAAATCATTGTTACTTTTTTTTTTCTATTATCATTTCCTATTATTATTATTATTATTATTATTTTAACTTTAGACTAATGAATTGAATTCTTAGACTTAAAAAAAGACATTGAGCACTAGCAACACAGGTTATCGGCTCATCATTTCCTAAGTCTAGTATATTCGTATTAATTTTTCAGTTCATTTTTTTGGAAATGAATATTCTTAGAATTTTCTTTTACTTTTGTTAAAGTGAGTTTTCTTCTAGACACATTTCTTACTTCGTGCGATGTTTTTTTCTTTGCTTTCCTCACTTGACATTTACTCCGCTAGGTTGTTGTACCTGCATTCCTCCTTTTTAATTGATCCTGTTCTATTACATTTAATCTGTTTATTGAAATTCGTGCTAATTGCCGACTCCCTTGGTCTCTTGTCTCGTTAATCAAGAAAAGAAACATGTCATTTGCTTTCGCAAAACCCACCTTCCTGCAAAACAGACGGACTTTAGACTTTGTTCTCTTTTCATAATTCGCTTTTTAAATGGTGCTACTATGTGAGCGGAGAAATATAGAAGCAAATCTTGATTAACGAAATTCCGTTATTATATTCCGTTGCTGTTTATATAACACTACCCCTTTGGTAAAGAGCAAAGAAAAAACCGACTGACAGAAGCCCCTACATGTACATACGCGGACGTTACAAACCTTGCTTTGAAAAGTTGTTACACCTGCTCTAAACAAAGTGCTGTAGTGCATAATGCTTTTGCTTGTGTTAAGATAATGTTGTTCACATTTTTCAAGAAAGCACTTGATTTAAGCATAATTTGATTTTCAAAGTAAGCCAGTATTATTACTGATTTTGACATAAATTACCAAGTTTCTTACGCTCATCGTACAATTGGCGCCCTCTCCTTTAACAATCAATGACTGCATAGATATATATGTATACATAGATATATTTATGTAATACCTATCGCTTAAAACAATAATTATTTTTTTATTTATTCGCCTATTAAATCAATTAAAATGAATTCTTTTAAATATTTATAATTGTATAAAAAAAAAATTTTCCTCTACTAAAAGTTTTAAGCAAAATGAAACGATTAAATGATTCTTAAGAAATGCCGTCGTTTATTTTATTGCAAGCAATTCAATCAATCAATGATTCGAGCGGCATTTTAATCAAAGAAAAATTATACAAAATTCCACCCTAAGTATAAAATTCCAATGACATTTTAACTTTTTCACCCACTTAGGCACCTCTTTAAATATCTAAGTAACCTTTATAACCTAATCTCTTTAGAATTATTATTTTGAATATCCGTGTATATTGCCTATATGATGCGTATACTAAAATCTAGATCTATTATTATCGAGCTGGGCTGCACCAACATACTATATAATGCTGATAAGCTTTAATATGTTAACGCTGATTAACTGTTCATGAGATTCCCTCTCAAATACAAGTTATTGAGCGTATGATTGATTAGATAATTGTAAGAATTTCTTTTTGCTTATTTTTACATGTACATTATATATATTAATTTGGCAGTTTTCCGATTTTTTTTGCTTTAACTTTAACTAAGTTAAGACTTCAATCTGAAGGACTGTCTCATTTAGAGTAATGTATGTTTATCTGGATTCTTTATACATGAATAAATAACTTAAAAAAATGCCACACAATCTACACATTTATACATGTAGATATATGTAGACATGTATATATGTGCCTGATTTTCTAAAATTATGTATAAAAATAACAAAATAAACGTAATATATATATATATCTTTTTAAGTATCCATAATTTAACAGCCATCACATAGAGGCAACATCTAGAATATCATCTGCTACAGGAACCCCGTAAACTTTGTTCAAAGTATCTGATTAACCGAAGATAATGAGCAGAGTTAGCCATGTTCGTTAGCCATGTCAGTTCAGCAACCTGTTCGATGATTGAGAGAGTTTAAATACTTGATGTCTACTTACGCAAATGGTTGTAAGCTGGTTACTAGCTACTTCATAATATGGAAACAAGCTCCGAAAAAAATTGTTCGGTGTAAACAAA